GGAAAGATGAGGATGGAAATGAGATGGACTTTATCTTAGATTCCAGCTCAGAGATGCAGCATGTTTAATTCCCAGTCAGTGGGCTATGATTGAACCCAGTCTTATTTCCAGCATGACGCTATATTGAGAGTGATCTGTCAAGATCATCTCTAATGTCTGTTTCCCTCAACTTTTCCTCCATACGATCCCAGCCCCTTGAGGCCGAATATGACCTACCTGAAACAGTTTTCTTCAGTTCTAAATCAGTGGAGTTGAAGATTTGTTCATTGTGTTGAACTGAACATGTCACTGAATCGGAATCTTCATACTGACCGAGCTTGATGGCACTGTACCTCCCACTGGGAGAGACGACGATAGCAGGGTCATATTCTTTTATTTTCTTGGCTGATTGTAGGTTTATATTTATATCCTTAGGGTAGAAATCCTTCACCAGGCAAGCGACTTTTGTCCCATTTTTCATGACAAAGACAGATGGTGTGGCAACAGACTGCTTTCCTGCAAATATAATCAATTTATTTTGTGAGATGATTGTCCACATGTGGGAGTTAAACAATGGTGTTTACCTCAGTTCCCCTGGGGCCGAACACTGCAATCCTGACACTCCTGCATCCTGTTAGTGCCCTGAGCTTGTTAGCACCTCCAAGGAAGGATGGCCAAAGGAAAGAGAAATGAAAGGCAGGCAGTATGCCTTCTAGTTAGAAGCTGCCAAGAGAGATCCTGGGAGCAGAGATGGAAAATGACAAATACAAAGAAGAATCTGGATCATTTGAGTTTCAATTATCTATGTTTTATTAATCAATCCTCTGGACAATTGAGGTTGGGCTGAATATCTGTCTGAATCAGTTGGTATGCTTTAAATGCATGAGCCCTTGGACTGAGATCAGGGCAGGGTCTGAGAAGGACTACGAAACTGGTTCTAGCACTGTGTGGATGGTAGCGATGGAGTCACTTCAGGGTGTCAGCCCCACTTTTTGGACTGGAAGGGATCTGCTAAAGTTAAGTGGTCCATCTCTCTGCCTTTAGGCAAATTCTGCTTTTGTAAGGGACTACCCTACAGTTTATTTTGAGTCTTTAATCAGAGAGAAATAACTATCATTTTCAGGAAATCCTTACAACCATAAAACCAGTTGAAGCCCATTTCTTCTTGTTTTGTTCTAAGTGGAGCTTAGCATGGGTGTCCTCTTCCCCTTCTTTCAGGCCCCATCTTGGATGATCATCTATCTGCTACTCTGTATATAAATCTTTCTGTTCTTTTTTTTTTAGATATAATTTTTTCCTTTTTTTTTGTCAATGGGGGGGAGGTAATTAGGTTTATTTGTTTATTCTTGGAGGAGGCACTGGGGATTGAACCCAGGACCCCATGCATGCTAAGCATGTGCTCTACCACTTGAGCTATTCCCTCCCCCACTGCACCTTTTTCTTTCCTTAAAACCAGAGGTCGGGGGTGGGTGGGGGATTTTTCAAAGGGCTCTCCTGGAACGTACTTTCAACCTACAAAAGAAAACCTTCACTGTTTTATTTCCCAGCTGATAACAGGTACTGATAACCCCAGCAGTAACGGCTTGGCAACCACATGTTCTGCTCAGCCACCTCCCTTCAGAACTGTGGCGTTTCTCCCTCACTCTACTGACTTTGGTGAGATGGGTTCCAGTGAGATTTTCAAGGGAGCTATGAGTGATAGAGAAAGGAAACCAGTCCATTAAAAAACAGAAACAAAACAGTCCTGTCTCCTTCGTTACTTAAGAGTAAGACCCAATCCTAGTCTGATTTAGTTGGCTAATTAAGGCTTGCTTGGGATTTAAAAATCTAAATTCAAAGGCAGTTGCTAATGGTCACTTTGGGCTAGAGAGACCTGGCTTGACTAATTTGAACAATGTCATATAACCAACAAGACAGATGTCTGAAGAAGGTCATACACTGAGAATGTTGAGCTCTGAATCTGTTACTAAGTATTTCAGATAGAGCATAACGCATTGGTTTGGTAAAACATTTTCTTAGACCCTCTTTCTCAGTTGGAAGGTAGGGTCCAAACAGCTGTTTCAAAGTAAAGTGTTTAATCCATTCTTTGGTATCATGGTAGCCAGAGAAAAGGGTATCTGACTGAATTGAACCTTTGAAAAAAAAAGAGATGTATTTAATATGGTCACCATATGTAACCTAGTCTATTTTATATTCGACCTAAACCAAAATTTGAAGTTGTATAAAATTTGCACTGCATTGTAGTCTGAAATGTAAAGATTTAATTGCTTATCTTTTGAAAATTTCCAGTCTTTATTCCTGGTCCACAAATGTAATTACATTTCAGCAGGTGTTTCAAAGTGCTATTTGTTGGGACAATTTCTATTTATTTTATGACTTTCTTTTTTTTTTTTTTTTGAGTACTAATCTAATGCTAAGGTTATGTATTGGTAAACAATTCAAAAAGAAGTATATACCTTTCCTGAACAGTCTTTCTTAATTTATAAACTTAAAAATTCATCTGTGTTCTAGATTCACATACAGCATCTTACTGGTTCCCTAAGAATTGCAACATCTATCACAAATGTCACTCAGAACTTCAAGGATCTCTGCCAATATGGGATTTAACTTGAATGCTGAAATATAAGCTTGCTCTGCCTGATTATTCTGACCAGGTTACCCACCTTTTTCCTAAATCTTCCAAACTGCAGAGCGTTTTTAAGGTTGCAGTAAGGCATGCACACTACTCTGTTTAGCCAAAGAGATGAATAAGGATGAAGCAACTACCTGAATTTGGGCCTCTGCCCCTCCTGCACTGGATGCTCCAACTATTAGTATAATGCTTCTAGATTTCTTGGTGCTTTCTGGTTTGCTCTGAAGACTTCAGAATTTTTTTTTTAAATAAAAATATTTATGGAGCTACTTCATCTACTCAGCCTGGTGTCTTTACCGTGGTCCCCTCCACACTTGTACTATTCCGTCTCCTAGTCATACTTTCTCGTGTAATACAAGCTGGATGGCAGCCCTAGTCCCAGGACTCAGTTTATCCCTAGAAATATATGGAAAAAATCAACTCACGGTGCTCCACGAAGAGTTTGGTGCCAGCTCCAAAAAACATCTGTCGGGTGTCCCAGGAGCACATTGTGGTGCTGCCTTACCAGTAACCAGCCTGGGGCTGCCCTAGGGCCTGGGCTGGAACATCTGTGTCCTGCCTCCCCAGCCTGGTCCCCAGCCTAGGGACCCCGCAGCACAGAGAACTACAAAGCTGCCCTTGATGAGATCCGGGGGCCATGTGGGCAGAGTCTCAGTTCCCTCTGAAGCTAATAATAGTTTAACTGCTGGATAAGGAGGTAAGCATGAAATCCACAGCCGGGAAGCACTGGGACAGGGGACGGGGCTGAGACAAAGCAAAGGAAGAGGGTGACAGATGACCAAGAGCTGCCTTCAAGATGGAAAATCTAACTCCCCATTTATTGGGAGGGCTCTCCAAGAAAGACACACTAGCCTGGGAGTAGGGATGGCGCACTGAATATTGACGTTTCTTGTAATGAATGTTAGGCAGAGGAGGGTTTAGACACAGGTCTTGTTCTCATATTCTGGTTCCCTTCTCTTGGGTCATAATACTGCTTTTTGATTAGAAACCTAATTTCTCCCCCATCACTCAGACTAAGTCTCACAATAACAACAAATCTACTTTCTAATTCCCTGAGCTCAGAGAAAGGCTTTCTAAGGACCTGAAGGTTGAACAAGAAATTGGTAGCTGACAGGGAGCCCAGTGGTGCCGTGTGTCATGGATGCAGGTCAGAGAAACCAGCGCTTGCTTTGGATTGCTTATTTTTATTTTATAATTTCTCCTGACTCTAGAGCTGGATACAAGCCTCAAGAGGACAGAGTAATCATGTGAAATGGAATTTAAAAACCATATAGATTACTCTGCCTTATCACCAAAAAATCAAGTCTAGGGCTAGAGCTTGGCAAAAGGGAAGGATGGTTGTATAGGGCCATTATTTGCTGTCAAAACTTTAAGGATTGGGGGCTTGATTTGGAATTCTCACTCCCTCTACCTGTGCATCATATCATCATATGACAGTCAATCACTGCAGGAAGAGGGAACCAGAGAAGCAACTGGGGTATCACTGGAGAGGGCAGGTCAGCATCCCTCTCCTTCTTCCCTAAGACTCCCAAAGACACAGCCTCAGAGATTTGATTCTAACACCGCAGATAGCTCTGAATTTCAAGTGGAAATCATTTAAAGGGAAAATGAAGCACAATACTTTTTGCTCAGATGCAGTTTGCCTAACATCAATCAGACTGCAATCAGTTACAACATGATTCTGTTTCCCTCCTTTTCATTGCTCTAGTCTCCCCTCCAAGATAAGAAAACTCACCAAATTCCACTATTTCCCTGGAAGCAAGAGGCAATCAAGAATGCCTGTATGTTTATTTTACCTTCTAAGAGACAGAGACCGAGTTGACACTACCAGTCCCTTTCAGATCTTTCAGATAGCCTCACCCCATGGATGTAACTTTCCCCACTTGTTTATTTCAGAGGAAATAAACAAAATCAGAATCTAACCCATGCCCCATTGGTTTCGGCATTTTGGAAAGCTTCTGAAAGATTGTTGTTCTCTCTACTGGTCCCAGTGACTGAATGTTGGCAGCTAACCAAACTACCCAAATATAGCCCCTGGATTTCCAAACACTGGAACGGACCACCTGTGGACAGTGTCTCCAGGAGAGCACCATTACTTCTCTGTTGCCCTGAAGTTTGCTGGCTGTGCGGCTCCCCTACCCTGCACTGGCTGTAGACTCCTGAGCCCTGGGCAGAGTCCTCAGATTCAGGGCTAACGAGGGAGGTGAGCACATAACTGCTCCTGGCAGACCCAGCTGAGGATGGGACCTGGGAGATCACTTAGTCTGAGTCACGCATGATGAATTAATACAAGTTCTTGGCAAAAAGAGACAGGGGCAGATTGGATTTTGCCATCTGAGGGAGAGAAGGCTCTTTTGATCTAACTCTTTCCTTAATAACATCATTCTTCTTTCCAACTCTCCCTCTTCCTACACTGTGACCACGACCCTTTCTGCTCATAAACAGTGGTGAGACTTCCCTTATCTCGAACTTGCCGTTTCCTGGTTTCAGTCCCTGACCAGGGGGCCAGAAGCCTGACTAAGGGCTTTATTTAAGCAATTGTAGAAGACTTATCAGTACGAATCCTCAGAGCAGAGTCTCTAAGCATACACAGAACATTTTCTTAAGAGAAATCTAATGAATTTGTCCTCAAAAATTTCCCTGGCTCTTTGCAATAACAAGATAAAGGATAGATTTCCACTTTAGAACCCCCTAACTTCCTGAGAAGCTCCATTCATTCAGGGCTATGTCACAACAACTCCACTGAAGTAAAAAGCATAACTTACTTGGTTCCACGATGAGTTGAGTCCCCTTTCCAAAGATAAGCTGTGCTGTCAAATCACCACTTGAGATGGCCTTACAAAAAAGCCTCACTACCTATTTGCCCTCCTGTCTAGTCCATCTGTTTGAAAGTGGGTGGGTGAGCAGAACAAGTTAGCTGGAGCCATAGAACTTTGTAAGGGTCCCTGAGATCTAAGCATTGCATTTTGGCAGCTTCTTTGATGTGTGTTATCTTCTGCATGTTGATATTTAGAGAAGTCCCCAGGTTTTCTGCTGTTGTCTCCTCAACCTGTCATCTCTTCCCCCTAGATCTTGCTTCACGATCACATTTTCACAGGGAGGAAGGAATTAATTTAGTTTTGCTGAGAATTGTCAAATGGCTACTGTCAGCAGAAACATAGCTTTAAGGCTGAAATCAATCACAAAGCGCTATGCCTCAGCTAGAGGTGGAAGGGCACGACGGCTGGAGCAAGAGCCATTGATACAAAAGCCTTGGAGTCTCCTGAGAGGGCTACCATTTGTATAAGGACTTTACTACTTACAAACAGCTTGTGTTTACAAACATCACTGAACAGACTCCAGGAGGTGATGTAATTAGGTCTATCTTACAGATGAAATCACCGGAGCTGAGAGTGGTGAAGACAGCGGCTGACCTGGGCCCCGCTCTCAGGTCTCCAGACCCCACTGACCAGGAGTAATAGATGACAGGAGTGCAAGGAGCCTCAGCTGTCATTTGTCAAAACCCCTGTGGTCATACAAGGGCTGATTAGTGGATGCAGAGGGGGGAGCTTTGACTCCTTTTTCAATCTTTTCCATCAAATCACAGAATCCTCACTGGGTCATAAGACATTCATATCGTTGGACTGCCTTCCTTTTCCTACTATGCTGTCCCCTTAGAATTGGTCTGGGTGATAATCCAGATCACAGTGTGCTAAAGCTGCAAGACAGCTCGGATAGCATCTGAACTAGCCAGAGGGAGACTCAAGTTCAGTGAAGCCAAGGCACAGAGCTTGTCAGCCAAAGAGAAGGGTTGGAATTTGGCCCTTTGAATTCCTGGTCTTTGAAATCCTCTAATATGTTCACCATCACACCTCACACTTACTAGATATACTGTATACAGTTCTAGCTATGGCCTCGATCTGTAAACGGCGAACGCGTGGGTGTTAAGTAAGCTGGGTCTCTAAGGCTACTCAGGTAAAGGGAAGCCCCTCCAGGTAGGATAGTGGACCAAGAAGACCACTGCAATGCATACCCACCCCGGATTTGACTGGAAACTCAGTCCCTGATCCTCAAACCATCCCTTACCCGCTGGAGGGGTTTTCAACAACCTGAAAAGTGCTTCTGAAGCTGATGACTTGGGAAAATATTTAACAAGAATAATAGCCAAACAGAGTGGTCAAAAGAAGGAAAATATAACGAGTCACTTACGTGGTTCAACATTCAGATAGGTTCCTTTGCCGAATATCAGTGGATACTGCACAGCTGGTAAACCCAGTCTAAAAACTGCCTTGCTGTCTCCTTACCGCAACCCTGGCCCCAGCTGCCAAGTCACATGATAGCCATTGGATGGGATTTTCTGTATCATCTGCTTCATCTCTTTTCTCCTCAGTCTTGAGGGCTACCCTTCAGCACAAAGCAGGAAGTGATCCCTGTGTCAAATAGAAATTTAGTCCTTTGCCAGGTTATCATCTGAATTTGTGCTCTGAATGAGAAAGACTGGAAAAGGATTTCTTCGTTACATCAGGAGCAAAGAAAAGTAGACTTGATCATAGAGTGGTGATTCTCAACCCTTGGGCTGCACCTACGTGGGACAAAGACCTAGTGGGTTATGTGCCCCACTCAGAACCTTTTAGGAGAATTCCACTTCATAACCAGTCAAAGCTTGGCATCGCTGACAAGCCTGGTGCGGCAGCCAGACTTAGTATAGAACAGAATTAGAGTCTTCGGTACATTTTAATAACATATTCATGAATATCAAATTTGAGCAAGCTTTAATGACATACTCCCACTTAGAAGTGACAGTTAAATTAGCCTCTATCATATGTAAAAATAGGAGTCTATGAGATTGCTTGCATGTCACTCAAAAAATCTAAGGAGAAAAATATGCATTTTCAGATCAGTTTATAGCCCGTGCTGGCCTGCATATCACACTTGGAGAATCACTAAAATGGAGAATGGTTCTTAGTTGTGATGAAGTAGGAAGATGTCAGAAAACCTGAAATCTAGTTCGACTCTATTTTTTATTCTGCAAACTAGAGAGCCCATGTGTAATTACTAGAATGTTTTCTAGGAGTCGACTCAGAGTAAAAAGTTCTAGGATGTAATTTCACTAAGCTCAGAGCTTCCCGGGGCAGGACTGTGGGGAAAGGTTGCTGAGGGAGAAGAGAATCCTGTTTTTTTGGTGTATGACATGAAAGGGCTCACTTCTTACAGCTCAGGATGAGGACTGGAATCCAGGTTTCTGACCGCCTTGGTCTCTTCCCAAGGTCAGATGTGACCGCCTTTCCCGTCTCTAACCTTCCCTCTCGAATCCAAAAGCCAAAGTTCTTCCGGTGACTTACAAGCCACCCTGTCCACATTACCAACCTGACCTCATTTGCAGATTCTCTGCTGGTGACTCAGTCTCCTCCAGCCCCCCGGCCCCCTTGCATCCTTCACAAACCCCAGGCAGCACCTGTGTTCCCTCCTCCCGGAAGTGCTCTTCCTCCAGGTGTCTGCATGGCCCACTCTGCCAGCTGTTAGCCTCTCTACTCAAGTGTCACCTTTCCAATGAGGCCTTCTGTGACTCCTCTGTTAAAAATTACATGCTGCCCCCTCCCACGAATGCTCTTTATTCCCCTTCCCTGCTTTATTTCCCTTCACAGGGCTTATTACCATCTAAAATACTGTACATTTTATTTAGTGAGTTTGTCACCTGTCTTTTACACTACACTGTAAGCTCCAGTAGGCATGCATTTCTGTCTGTTTTGTTCATGCTCATTCCCCTCCCCCACCCCCTCGGCACCTGGAAGTGTCCGGCACATAGTGACAGGGACTTGTCACAGGTTGAGGACCTGAGATCAAGCTTGGCTCTGTAGGTTCCTAGCTTGCTTTCATTTCTATTTCCTTTTGCCTTATACCACCACTGACTTGCTCATTCATTCATTCATTCATTTGTTCATTCATTCAACAAATATTTATTTACTGCCCTCAGCGTATTCGTGGATACCGTAAGGCACAACTCAGAGCCCTTTGCCCTTCGGGATGAAGGGAGGTAGCTGATAAGTCAGCATTCAGAGTTTCAGATGGACATGAGGCTATAAATATAAAGCAGGAGAAGGGGACAGCAGGAGACAGAGGCGGTTGAAGAACTCACTAGATGTGACGTTTGAGTAAAGACCTAGAGAAGGAAAGGGAGAAAGCTGGGTGAGACGCTGGGTGAGACGCTGCCCTGAAAATGGTTCCAGGCAGAGGAACGGCAGATTATGGCTCTGTTCTAGAAGATGCTTATTGTGAGTGAGAGGGAAGGAATGTCAGTGGTGGGAGGGGAAAGCTATCTGTTGGCTTTTGTGGACTCCTTTTTGGGGGAGGTGGGGAAGAGAGATGCTCTGATCATTATCTGAACCTTTCTGAATTTAGGAATCCTTGAGCCCCAGGGTTGTAATGCGGGGGATGGGCCTTGCCTGGAAAATGCCTCTTTTGGTAATTGGTTTTGGTTTCGGGGCAAGAGCCCGGCCTTGGTGAAGGATTGCAGTGGGGATGGCAGCTGCGAGGGAAACTGCCTAACTGTTGCTTTAGACTCTTCAGGCAGCTTGGAAAGGAGCTCATTAGAGGCCTGAGAGGGCGGCTTGGATGCGCCCCAATCGAACTGCAGTCCCAATAGAAGAGCAGAGTTCTTAAGGATACAAATTTTGGAATCAGACAAATGATGTAAATTTTGACTTTGCTAAACTGTGTGGTCTTGGAGAACACCCCCTGATCTGTAAAATTGCAGGTAATAGTACCTAATTTTGCAGGATCACATGAGAACTGAGTAGGATGACATTCATTAATACATGCCTAGCCCAGTGGCTTGATACATAGTAGACACTCAGAAGGTGGTGGCTGATATACTGATGATATATAACAGTATATACGATTCTAAATCCACCCAATGGCCCACTTGCGTAAAGATGTTCCTGACAACTGTGGCCCTTTCTAAGTTCCTGTCATTGTCACAATCCTTAGCACATATGTACATGATGGTACGTTAGTCCTTGCTGTTTTGTCCTGTTCTCTGGTTCTGCTTTATGAAGTTAAGCGGCACCCCCAGGTTTTCTCCACGCAGAGGGCTAAAAGCTATGGTGGAACTGGGGCTGTGGGTTTGTGTAGACGGGTCCGGCGCTAACTGGGAGCCCTGCAGGTAAGGACTAGAAAGAAGTTCCTGAGGAAAGAGAGCATCAGAAGAAAGTAGGCTCTGAGAAGATGAAGGCTATGGGTTTACAGCAATGCCTCTTCAGTCCAATATTTGTTGGCTAAAAAAGAAGGCATCATACAAGGATATTCTGCATCTTGCCCTCTCTGGATGCCCCTTGCCTTTTCTTTCAAAGGATGATGGAATGCACCAGCTCAGTGTTTCCCAAACTTCAGTTCATCACATCTCTTTTTGGGTGGGGTTTTTTGTTTTTTGGTCACATCCATCTGTCATATTATTTGCCAAATGATTTTCTTGAAATTTACTCACTTTTTGACCTAAAATATAATTAAGAGGAAACTTTAAATCACATGGGTTTGACCACTCAGTTGTACTATGCTGATATCCATAAAAAGATAGTGCAATTAAAAGGAAAAGAAAGTCTGTCTACGTCCCATCTAAAATCACATGCTATGCAGTCTACACTTAGGGACACAGCGGGTCAAGTAAGTCAGTAAGCAGGACTTAATCCAGAGCAAGAACTTGGCAAATGAAGGGAGGTAAGGGAACTCAGTCACTGACTTTGTTGGGAATGTGGATAAACTATTATTATAGTGGGAAATTTTAAAGCCAATGAGGTCTAAAGGCTCAGTTAGTCGAATTTTCAAAATCTTACTATGATTTAAAAAAAAAAAAGAAAGCATTTCTCTGCTCTGATTCTGCTAGCCAGCTTTGGGTCTCCACGTCTCCCTGGATGCAAAGCCCCTGCTCCCCTTGTCCCCACAGCGTGTGCGGTCTGGGGATGCACAGTCTACATGCCCTCTTTCCCCTTCCTCTGCCCCCTTCACTTCACACACCCACGACTGTCCTGTCACCAGTCGTTCTCTGAGAGGAGTCTGCGGGGGGCCACTCATGATCTGAGGACTGCCGAGCACAAAGACTGGGCCCAAAATCCCAAAGTGCTGGCGTCAGGCTTTGAGGTTGATCTAACAAAGACAATCTCTGTCCCGCCACCCCTTGTGAAGAATGTATTAGATGTGTTAGAGCCTTAGGAACATCCTGAGTTATTAAGTTACAAAGGACCTTTGAAAGGAGAGATACAATCGGCACACAAGTTAGTGATCTTAGCCTGAAGAACAATCACCTGAGTTAATAGTACACTAGTCACGATGTTAGCCTAGAGGAACAATAACCTTAGTTTATGATCTTGGTTTCAGGAACAGTTAATCTTAGTTTATTGAGAACTGTAAACAATAATGATGTCTGTAACAATATACAAGTTAATGATTTTAGTATACATTGTCAATGTACCCTAAAACAATACCTTTGCTTACGTGCAGGAATGTATGAGGTAATGGGTTAAAATCATATAAATGAACTACAGAAAATAAACTCGTGGTCCACTCTTGGCTTAGCGTCTTGCGGGCCAGAGTGAGACCCTCTCAACCCCACCTTCTAGTCTTGTCTTTCTTTTCTCAGTCCTGCGGCACAGGTTTCTGGACCTGATCGATTGTCGGCTGGCTCCGACAGGAGTCCACCCCATCATGCTCCTCCACCCCACCTCTCTAGAGTCTGCTTTTACCTTAGAAAACACGAGCTGAACGCCAAAGCATCAGGCTAGGATGTGCTGTTACTTTTCTCATTAGCCGGCTGAGCAGATTTGGTGAGACCCCATTCTAGACTTCCCTAAGATCTTTGAAATGGGTTTAGTGTTTATTTATTTCATTTTCTGCTTAATGTTAATATCTACTGTTTAACTGGAAGCTGATGCCAAATGGAGATTGCTGTCTTTTAAAAATTTTTTTCAAATCAGGACACAGTTGAATTCAAATGTCACTTCACTTAAATGACACGAAAAGATCCCTTCTGTGTTGAGTACCATCTTTTGACAACGTTAGCATCGATTCCTTTACCACAGTTAATTGGTGAGTGGCACTGCCCCCTCTTAGTGAGGACGATGGACGCCATGAGCCCTTAGGGAGCGCCTCCTGGCTGAGTCCTGGGCTTTAGAGGAAGCACTGCACATTCACTCTCTTGTGCTTGGGGTCTGGTCTCAGTGGGAATCAGAATGTTCCAGCTTCCTCGCTAGTCACGCAGCTTCC